AACAAGTTTCTTGATCGTTGTGATGTTTTTGTCTACTAAGAATTTAATACGCCATGAAGCATTGTATTTTCTTTCCTCAGATTTAGTGGTTTTCAACTTGAGAATTGATTTGATTTGAAACCTAACCTATTTTTGATTGCGAACTGGATTTGCATCTTGACCAAGGGGTATTCCGTTTTCAATTTTTTGTTTGATACTATAATTTTCATATTTTCCTGGTGTATCCTTTCTTGCTTGTTTGAATAGAGCGATGTATGCATCAAAAAGAATTAAATAATGACGAATTCTAAAATAAGTGACTTCTAAATTCACCACTTCCAAAGTCGAATCAATCCTTTTCCAAATTTTTAATTCATTTATAATTGATTCAAAATTATCTTGAAAATTAAACTGATGCTCGTCAAAATTAATCGAACGGTCATTATCTCCCAAATCAAGGTAGATACTATTATCCTGGAATTTAATTTGAAGAGACAAGTCGTCGGATTCAGGGAAAAGTAAAGAATGAGCAATAGTACTCCATTCTTTTTTCAAACCTGAAATAAATATGAAAAGTAATTAAAATTTAAAATTTAATAAAAATTAAAAAATTAATTTTTTTACCCTTTTGTTTAACTATTTTTTTATGATTTTCTTTGTCATTCTTGTCATTCTCGTCACTTTCTGTTAAGCATTCATCATCAATCGAATTTCTGGATTTAAATTCTTTTTTCGAAAAAGTTTGTTTGTCATCACTTTCTATTAAGTATTCATCATTGTTCGAGCCTCTCAATGTTTCATGCGAATTGATGCCTTCATGTTCTTTGAGAAAACTATTAAGTGATGACTCTGCAAGACCTTTTAGAAATATATTTTAAGGTTTTAGTAACATATATTAGTACTTAATGAGCATAATATAATACTTACCAAAGGTATTTTCAACTCTTTTTACCCAACTATTAACAGGAAACTTATTCTCAAATCTCGAACGACTCAGTATATCAATTAATTGTAAATATTTGTTCTTTTGATATTTGTCAAGTTGTGTTTTTAAATCTTTACTGCGCCCAAAAATCGTTTCTAATCTTGAATTTATGTTGATCCATGTCTCCTCATCAGATTCACATAACTCAATTCTTAAATTCATCAATAATCTATTGATCGATAAATTTTGGTCGAAAGTGATCGAACCATCGTTATTATCGGGCTCGTTACTTTCGGGCTCGTTACTGTCGGGCTCGTCATTTTCGATCGTTATAGGTATTACCTAAATAAATGCAAATTAACAAGTGGGCTTTTAAAACAATTAAAGCAAGATATAAAAATCTACCGTTTTATGTTTGTATACTATACTTTCAAAAACATCCCTCAATTTTCTGATTTCAGCATCTTGCTCCTAAATTTATTAATTAATGTTGTAATGCAAATAATATAAGTTTGGAATATAATTTTATATAGCAAAATTACCATTATTTTATTAAGCATTTTATCAATAATATTCTCATCATTAAATTCTTCTTGTAATTTGTAATGGTTAGTAATGTTACGATTCCGAAAGGTTCTTCTTGTTTTATGAGGTTCAATAATTCTTTTAACAGTAATAAATCCTTCTCCGAATTCTATACATTTTAATTTACCTGTACAAGAGTTACTTAAAAAGTTTGCAATGAATAAGAAAGTATTTGAAAGTGGAAATTTGCTGTTATCAAAGGACATCTTGCAAAATAAAGTAATACGAAATACGATAAAATTCTAAAACAGTAAACAAAATTTAAACTTTTTATTGATTTTCCCGCACCGGGTGGCGAATTAACCAGGGTAGGTCACATCTATAGTAAAATCAAAAGGATCGACACGGATCAGTCCGGTGCGGAAATATTCAGGAAAAATCAAGACACAGTGTGTCGTCTTTTTATTTTGTTTTCTAAGTAAAAAAATGCGTGTATGTTATAGTTACGGTTATAGTTAGAAAAATATGACGGCTATTAGTAGAATTTCACGAGGAATATTTTTAATTAGGCCACAGTAGATGGTTTCTTAATAAAAATTTAGAGCTATTCCTGTTTTTTTGTAAAAAAGTGGTCCGTTTCAATTTTTACGTTACACCTGATCTTAAAATTCGATTGGTCAAAATTACAGGGGTGGAAAAAATTTTGTGGAATAGCTAGGGGCTTTGGCATGCCCCGGGGGCATGCCCTATAGGGTATGCCTCTAACCCTCGTGCCTCCAACCCTAGGTATGATAGAATAATTGAAAAATAGGAAAAACGAACGGTTTGTTTTAATCTTCCTGATCATGTAACGTTATATCAAAGCGAGGCGTGCTATTGGATAACCTATTATACAGAAATAGCTTTTCTAAAATATTACAAAAAATATCAATTTTTTTTACATCATCAATCTTTTTTATTTTACTGTATACAACAAAAAACTAAAAACACGACACACTGTGTCTTGATTTTTTCTGAATATTTCTGCACTGTGGCGATCTTTTAAATTTTACGAAAAACTGAAAACAGGACACACTATGTCTTTATTCTTAGATTAAATGCGATGCATTTAAGTAACATAAAGCATAAAATTTTCAAGTTTCATTCTTTTAATCATGAATGTCAAAATTTTAAAGGTTGAAACGTGCTATTCAATAGAAGCTATTGGCACGTTTTTACATGCATAATTGATTATATTACCACGTCATAACGTGCTATTATTAGTGTTAAATTATTATCACGTTATAACGTGCTCTTTATTAATGTTAAATTATTACCACGTCAAAACATGTTTTTTAGTTTTAAATATTACCACGTCATAATGTGTCTTTTATTGGTATTAATTATTACTACGTAATAACGTGCTCTTTATTAGTACTAATTATTAGCATGTAATCACGTGCTCCTTATATGTTAATTATTGCCACGTATTAACGTGCTTCTTATAGTGTTAATCATTATCACGTATTAACATGTTTCTTATAGTGTTAATTATTACCACGTATTAACGTGTTATTTATTAATTATTATCACGTAATAACGTGCTCCTTATAGTGTTAATCAGTACCACGTAATAACGTGCTCTTTATTAGTACTAATTATTAACACGTAATAACGTGCTCTTTATTAGTACTAATTTTTTTTTTTTTTTTAAATATTAATGGTGAGGCCATGTCTTTAACTTTATTGAAATTTAA